GCATAAATCAAGGAAAAACCCATGATTAGAAAACTTGGGAAACAGCAATAATCAACTGGTTGAATGCACAAGAGTCGTCTTGCTCGTGCCTTTACACAATTGAACACAAATGTTTAGCAATTTCGAGACAATATCAATATCAATGTCTTCTTTATATTTGCACCAATTTGTATGTTTCTCTCTAGTTGATGAGCATGGACAAAGCTACACCCATAAGACAATGCTAATGTTAAGTCACACTCAGTGTTAGCAAGCTCACACTCTCAACTTATTTTAGCCTAACACGCGGACAATTCATAAGTGACGCGGAAGTATATAGGCCATTAAGCTCAACATGCACATGGGTAACCTATTTTGATACCACAAAGAAATTGAGGTTTCATGTAAAACTAATTATCAATATAAGATGTAGCCCAATTCTTTACATGCACGTGCAAAATATTTTTAATTCCTGGATTGAGGTCGAGATCGCCCTCCAGCCTCTCAGAGTCAACAAGTTTTAGAGATAAAATAAGAGTTGTAGTTTTTCTTTCAAATTAAACAATCATTGATTAAAGTGTATGATGACTATTTAAAAGTGCTTTACTAACCAATATCTAAAATAAATGAAAAACTAAAGGGGTTAAACCAGATCTTATAGCCTTTGGGTCATAGTCACTAGCAGAGAGCACATACTTTGTGTGTGTGAACAACCTCCCACCTCCTCTCACGTTTTCCTAAAACGCAACCACTTCAGTTCAAACTATCCAAAAAACATCATGATTTCACTTACCTGTATGAAAAGATGATAGTGTGACAATTTCTCTTAATAAGTGCATATTTTTATCTTATGAAAATATTTTGATACAAAATTACTATTTTGCCCTCCTCATGTCAACATTGTGTATAAAAAATGAGGCAAAATAGAAAAAAATGCCGCAAAGAGTTTGACAAGCCCTCTTCTCTTAATATAATAGAATAGGTAATGTGGCCTACCCCTATCATGGTTGGACGTTTCTTGTTCTTTCTCTTTAAGTCTGATGCTATTGTCTCAAACTTGTTAGTTTAAAAATGTTGCCATCACTGATATTATATATATGAACGCCGCTCAACTAAACTCAGTCCCACTTATTTAAAACCACTGATATTCCTACTAATAATCGTACAATTAAGGTGATCCTTTGAAGTTGTATATAAACAGAGAAGGCAAGGATTCGAATTTGAATTAAAAAAAAAATTACTGATCTAACCAATTTAGCTAAGTTCCGGTGTGGTTAGACAAATGGTTTTCTTTCATCTTGTTTTTAATTTGTTTTCTTTTTACAGGGTATATGAATTCATATGCAATCTTCCAAAACCAATCACGAAAATACTACAACAACAATAATGATTCATGAAGGTCTATATTATTATCTCCATGTTTGGTAAATGAAATCGGATTGAGATATAAAGGCAAACCAATTAATCCCTCGTTTGGGAAGATCCCTATAACTTTATGTGGGTTGGTTCGTTTCTTTTTCATAGTTCTCACTAGCTACCGGATAAAACCCACTAGCAACTCTTTATTGCTTTTGTTTGGCTCTTTTGGCACAAAAGTGATTCCACCCACCGCCGAACACTGTGTAAACATTGTAAAAGGGCTAAGCTACGACGGATATTTTGAGTGCATATACTACATATATGGCATCACTTGCTTTTCTTAAAGGAAACTGCATGATTATTGGGTAGGCTCATGTTGATTTTCAAGATTAAGGTACTCATCAAAGTCAATTAGTTTTCTTCTTTTGACTATAAGTTTCGAGAGATTTTTCAGTGTGACCGGTACACGGGATAGTACACCACATGTCACTATACAAATGGTGGGATATATGTGCTAAAAAGTTAATAACTTAAAAAATAAATTTTCCCACCACTCCTATTAAAACACATAGTTTACCACTTGTGTTCCCGTCACAATTAAAAATTTCTCATAAGTTTCGATTAGGGCATATATATTGAAGTAATTGGCTCTCTTTAGCTTTAGCATAGTAGATAACCCTCATTTGTGATGTCAAGGACTCAAGGGGATTCGAAGTTTGGTGTAGAGAAAAGAGCACACTTCTCTAATTAATTTGTTTGAATTCAAGTGTCGACTTCATTTGTTTTACATATATTTTTTCTGATCTTTTTCTTTCATACCCATATACAACATGAAACACATGTCCCATAATAGATGACATGCAGTACCTAATGGCACTGTATGCTGATACAGATTTGAACGTTGGACTTGATTCAACAAATTAAACTAAAGGCAGTTGACCTTAAAATGGTCTCTGAGATTAACATAATTTCTCACTTTGGTTCCTGATATTTGAAATTGATAGAAGTGATCTCTGAGTTTGTCCACCAAAATGGTCCTTGAGATTGACATAACTCCTCATTTTAGTCCCCAACATTTGAAATCGATAGAAGTGATCTCTGAGTTTGTCTACCAAAATGGTCATTGAGATTGACATAACTCCTCATTTTAGTCCCCGACATTTGAAATCGATAGAAATGGTCTTTGAGTTTGTCCACCATCAATCATTTTGGTCATTCCGTGAAAAATCTCCGTAAAATAAGAATGAAATGACAAAAATACTCTCAATTTTTGTCAAATCATTTTGGCCCATTGTTTATTAAATTGAAGATATTTTTGTTATTTTGGTTCTTATGTAACATATATTTTTTTCAAATCACAGGAACTAAAGTGAAGAGTTATGTCAATCTCAAATTTAACGGTCAAATGTGCATCGGCAAGAAAAATTGAAGAAGTACATCACCAAATTCCACATACAAATATGGTTCGCTCCTCTTGAAGGGTTTGGTATTACCATCCTATAATCTGTCAATTCTGATGTCAGTTTCTCTTCTAGAGTTGTGATAGGCTAATAACCATGAGACTTAACTTGGGCATAAAAGCCTAACCAGGTAATGCACGTAGTAGAAATAGTTGTTTTGATCCCCCAATGCTGAACAAATAACACAAAGACACGTATTTTACCAGTGCCACTTTGTCAACGATTGCCATCAACCTTTGACACATCTGTCCCAACCATACAGTGGCAGACCACTCCTAGTACCATCCCCATTGAAAAGAAACCATCTCTCTTTCTCTCTCTCTCTCTCTCTCTCCATTAATTTGTTTGCCATTTTTGGCATCCACGTTCATGAGAGTGACACAGTTCCCATTACCCTTGGTTTCCAATCGCACCATTAACGTGAAAAAAGAAGGGTCCCAAACCCTAACCCACCATGCACTACCTCATTTGCATGAACAATTTGATACCTACTAACCTTTGCTCTCCCTCATGATCGATCATGTTCTTTGAGAAGATAGTATTGGAATCTTTTGCAAAATATTCCAAAGCTACAAAGAAGATTCCTAGTTGCGCGATTCTATCCATCCTATCATATACACTTTGAAACAATCAGTGGCCTTTGGTGCTTGACAAGTGACAAGGCCTGCCTCGATCGCGATCGGCCTTGTTTTAGCTAGGCATCATGTACTTCATGCATTTTTATTGAAACATCGATCCACTCACACACTGAGCTCAGTGGACATCTATTGCCTTGAAACTCCGAGTTGTTCCCGTAGTCACTAGTCTAATCACGCCACAATCCATGAAATTAATAACTGATTTGGGTTCGACTCAAAAAAATAATTGATTTGGGTTTGTTTCAGCACACCATATGGATTTGTTTGATAACATTTCATTTAAAATATATATATATATATATTTGAAAATTTTGAAAATTTGTTTGGCAATTAATTTTTATTATTAAACTGAAAATCAAATTTGGATACTTTTTTGTGAGATTTTGAAAAAAATAAAAATAAAATGGTTATGTAACAACACTAAACTATTCAGCATTAATTAAGAAACTGACATACAAAACGTATCTACAAATGTGATAAGATTATAATAAATTGTTTTGTTTGGCACGAATAATAATATCGATGCATTTTTGCATAGAAATAATGCTGGCAATGATGATTTTCGAGAAAATTAAAATATACATACCCATAATATTCCACATGTTGGTCTAGTGGCGGCCGCTACTCAAAAATTTCAATTAGTTAGGTTTTCGTATACCATCTTCTTGCAAGTTCATTATACATATTTTGAAAAAGGGGTCAAAGACATGCAAAGTGTTCATTTGCTTGATTAATGGCTGGTTTGGTATTGCTGTGCTTTGAAAAAAATCTGCTGTGAGAATAAGCGGCTGTGAAAAAAATCAGCAGAGTGTTTGGTAAACTTTTTTGTATAAGTGCTTTTGGAAGAAAAAAAAGGCAGTCTGATAGTGGATTTTTTCATTAAAGAAGCACTGTAGCTCCGTGTGCCTTGAAAAAAAGCCAATTTTCCAAAGCTGCAAATAGTAGCTTCAGTTTTTTCCTTTGATTTTAGCTTATTCTCACAGCAGTTTCCAAAAGAAGTCTTTTTTTTCAGTTTACCAAACACCTAAAACCCTCACAGCTTTTTTTCATGGGTGCTTTTTTTTAAGCACCTCATTTCCAAACCACCCCTAAAACACATGACACTCATGATAGAGATTGACAACTTGACATGGAAAGGGATCCTCCGGATCCCTTCCACCTAATCCTCCTCATCAAACAATCTGAACCCTTGAAATTTGATCAAACACGGGCCCACTTTAAAAGTTATAATAACTTTGACCGTTAGATCAAATTTCAAATGCTTAGATTGCTTGATGAGAAGAATTAAGGGGAAGGATCTGGAGAGGATCCCTTTCCAACTTGACATCTCCATTTTGATGAGACTCTCTCTGTCAATCGCAATAGTATTTATAGCCCACATCATTGTCAATTGGATGGTTGGGCCCTAAAGTAGTCCGATTTATTATCGGGAGAATACTGAATCAAATTTGGGCCAAAATCTGAGGCCCAAATACAATGACACAGGAGGGATTCGGTTCAGCGGGAAAAAGGCATTCAAGTCCATCATTCTCTAAAACAACGCATCCGTGGTGCACTTGTACAGTAAAGTATCAAAACTGATAAAACTATTCCGCTTAAAAACTGTAGTGAAAGTATTGTTGTACATTTTATCCTTTGGAAAAAAAAAGTATTGTTGCACAAGCTGATACAGAATTATACATGCTTGCCCCGTAAGTTCATTTGTTTATCGAAGCATTTCTCTCTCGTCAGATCAATCAAATTAAAATTGCACATTTCAGGTTGGAAAAAGAAAGTAGGAAGAAAATCAGACCATCGCCTCCATGTTTCGTGGGTTAAAGTCCTTGATGTTGTTACTCGCCTCCATTTTTGACTTCCTGCTTTCGAAAGAACAATGGATGATGCTCGATTAGGCGGAAGTGAAAAGCTTATTCTTCAGTATCCTCGACAGATTTCTTGTATTCCGGCTTAAGCTCATAAGTACCCTGGTTGGTTCCCCTTTTGTTGTACACACACAGCTCATTCAGTATCTCTTTCAAGAATTGCTGCAGATGAAGAAACATAAAGAAATTGTAGCATTAATCGGTTAAACCATTATTTGTCGCATATCAAACTAATTCCACAGTTGTTGAAAATTTGGAGTGTGGCATTTAGCTAAGCATAAGCAAAATGACTGAAATACGAACCGCAGGTTGATTGGTTTCTTGCACCAGCTGCTTCAAGGTCCAGTTTGGTTGTTTTTGTTCAAATAACTTGAACACTATATCCTCCAGCTCCCCACGATCTCTTCTAGTCCTTTTCATGTCTGATTGTTTAACCGGTGCAGTTTTCTTCTTATCCTAAAATAGATAATTCAAAAAAGTTATTCCCTATTTTTGGTATAAGTTTGTTCAAAAGAATGAATAGGAAGGAAACTGATACCTTTGAAGTGGATGAAACCAAGCCAATCATCCCAGGCATGGGCCTCATAAGTACTCCTCGGTCATTATCGATCATCTTTGGAATAAATTAAAGCAACGAGATAATCAAAATCTGTGATTCATATACCATGGGAACTGCTATATCAGAAACATATGGAAGAAAATGGATACCTGTATTTGTCTATTCTTGATCATGGACTTGTTTGTCCTTTCACGACACAGCTTCCCATACTCCTCAATGTTAGTACCGTGGGGCTTCATATCAAACTTGTGATCCACTTTACCTTCCACAGAAACTTTGCCTAAAATGAAAGCGAAAGCTTTAGACTATTTGTAAAGACCACAAAACTAAGCGGTCTACAGCGAAGAGAGAAAGGGTAGTAAAATGGTAACCAGGAATGCAAAAGCAGAATGTATAACATATGACTTGATGAACAAATTGGCCATCCATAGAGCTATGCTTATTAGGGAACAAGTTTCTGGAGGTCACCCTGCACATTATCTATAACATAGATGCATCATATGTATTAGAACCAATCAATTTCTACAAGCCAAGACTCAATTTTCTCCATTTTTCTGATATCCAGTAGTCTAAGCCCAGCATAAAGCTGGCTTTGTAGTCGTCTAAACCCTAAATACCATCCTGAAAGTGAAGAAAATTTTGCAAAACACAGTTGAAACATTAGTTTAAATGTGCATTAAACAAAAAGAAGAATCTCAACTCTATTAGATATTTACGAAATAAAATCTAGAAATACGACAAGTGTCAGCAAATTGAATTTCTAAAGCTCACCTTGATTTGTTTCGGAGAAAACGCACATGGGAACAAAGTCCTTGTACATATTCAATGAATAACTTTTCGGCAAATTTGCAGCTGCAGAGTCAGGCATCTCCATCTTGAACTGATTGCAAAATCAAGAATCATAATCAACCAATGCAGAATGCAAATTGAGCATTCGAAAACCCATGTCAGATACAAAACTCCCAATCAATCAGTGGCAAAGCACAGCATCAATTAGGGTTTTTCTATAAAGAAGTAGGAATAGCTCAATTAAGCTACAAGGAAACCGAAATTACCAAACGGGCGCTTAAACCTTTCAAAAATACTAGCCCTAATTCACAAATTTAATTATCAAGAACTCCGAAAGTGCACACAAGTGTATGAAGAAAAGCGATCGAATTGATAGAAAGCAATAAGAACCTCCATGGCAGTGGGGTCGTCGGCGCGTAGGGGATCCAAGGAGAGGACGACTTTGGCGATTGGGTGGGGATCGGCGGGGTTGTGGGAGCTCCACGACTTGGCGACGACCACCGGGCACTTCATCAGCCACACCGGAGCCTCCGCCCTCCCTATGTCCAAGTTCCGGGTGCTGCTGCTACTGTTCCCGCGCTCCTCCTCCGTCGAATCTCTCTCTCTCTTCTCGACGCCCATAATCTTTAGGAATTTTGTTTCGGTTTCTGACCGACCAGAGAGACTTGAAGCTTCACCGCAGTCAAATTTTGTACGAGACGGAGACGCTGTCTTGGCTTTTGGGTTATAACTTGTAATCACCTGCCCTGCAGCTTTTTATATGGAGCAACCTTTTGTCCATGTCAAATGGTGCTCCAAAGGAGATGTTAAAAATGTCAATATACATATAATGGTGACAAATAATGTATTATTTACAAATATGTTAAAGTCAATATAATAAAGAATGCTAAGCTGGCATAGATAAAGAAATATCTTAAAATTATCTTCAAATGTGAATTTTGCTATTTCGAAAGACATTCTTCTTGTCTTATCTTAAATGTTAACATATTTAAGTATTATTTTATTATTTTTAAACCAATAACAACATAACTTTTATTATTTTTGTTTAAAAACATAACTAAAGCAATAAAATTTTAGCATATGGGGTGAAAGAAAATATTAACAATATATCAGGTTGTCAAATCAACGATCAAATTAAAATTTGATGTTTTGAATTTGACATCTCGATGTTTTAAGCATTTGCTGGATGGAGTGAGCGGACTGTCGGTATTTTAGCGTAGTGTAGGCTTGTGCGCGGGGAATCCTTCCCCTGAAAGCATGAAGGAAAGATTCGGTTAGCCCATAGGCCAACTTTTAAAAGCCGAAATAAACTAGGCCTATTAGTCAAGTAAGCCCAAATTTGCCTAATTTACATTTCAATTCATAAGGTGCCACCGAATACCCGTTATCGGAAGATGAATTTGAATTTGGTTGAAGACGGAAAGGGGAACTTAGGGCTGGTTTCGTATTACTGTGCTTTGACAAAAAAACTGCTGTGAGAATAAGCGGTTGTGAAATAAATCAGCAGAGTGTTTGGTAAATTTTTTTGTAAAAGTGCTTTTGGAAAAAAAAAAAACAGTCTAATAGTGGGTTTTTTCATTAAAGGAGCTCTGTAGCTCTGTGTGCTTTGAAAAAAAACCAGTTTTCCAAAGCTGCAAATAGCAGCTTCAACTTTTTCCTTTGATTTCAACTTATTCTCACAACAGCTTCCAAAATAAGTCATTTTTTTTCAATTTACCAAACACCTAAAACCCTCACAGCTTTTTTTCATTGGTGCTTTTTTTTAAGCACCTCACTCCCAAACCACCCCTTAATATCCTAGCCGTCCATTGACTGCCATTGCCCTTCACATGCAATCCCCATTGTTGATTTTAAGCTTATCCCAATCACATAGCCAATATTGCCTCTTGATCTCAAATCAGTTTTCATAAATCAACTATTTTTTGCTAAGAAGGCGATGATCTGATCTAATAGAATTCATTCCGATAAGAAGATTCCAACAGACACCAAATAAATCCAATCGATTGTAGATGTGGCAGAAGAGCACCATCTATGAGTACCAATGCCAAGAAACCCACCCACCATGAACCTTTGCTCCAAATGCTACATAGACTTTTGAGAGCAACGCTTCAGTCAAATCCACTGTCGAAGCCTCTGTCACGTCGCACTAATCTGACTTCATTTCGTCTTTTGTTTCCAAACAGTTGTTCATGATGTGGAGCACATAAGCTTCGAGTTGGCTAAAGCTTCAAGCGGCGAGAGTGAGAAAGGAAATATAGAAAGAAGCGGGGAGGGGCCTTAGGAATCTCGTGCTTCAGCTCTGGTCTCGTTAGACGACCTAAGGAGGCCTCTTACTCCACCTGAATCCTGTTTAATCTCAATGAAGTTAGTTATTATTTATATTACACTTGTGATGGTAATCCTAACTAGTTCCCGCTTAAGAAAGTGAAATAAACGTAGCCTAAATTATATATTCACATCCCAATTTACTTTGTATCTTCAGCTAAAATTTTAAAATGTAAATTTAACATGAGTCCGTTAAATTTTTCCTGTAAGATGTGGATTTGTGGGACCTAATTTTCATGAGCATCACGGATTGAACGTAAGTTGGCCTGGAAAAACAAATTAGAGCATTTCCACCGGAGGTGGAATAGCCCAGCACCCAATAAAAAAACCAGGCTGGGAGGATGTCATTCCACTCCAGGCCACAAACTTGCTTGGCACCCAACCCGTGCCAGTCTCCAGACCAGCTCATTTTTTATTGACCTTGGGACCGGCCTATTTGGTTGGCGCGTGCCTTTCACTTGCGAGTGGGCGCAAGTAGGAGACAGGAATGCAGGCGGCGGGGCTCGCTATCAGTGCATTCACCCATCACCCGAATCATGGCGACATGGCCCTCTCTTTACCGTTGGATTTCCAACGGTAAAAAAAAAATTAATTTCACTTTTAAACGGGATCGTTCGATCACATATCAACGGTCTAAGTTCCCCCCCCAAAAAAAAAGGCCCAACGGTTAGAATTATGACTGTTGGCCACATGGCAGCTCGGTGGCTGTTGGATTGTGTTGATGCACAAAATCAGTGAGGACTTTGGTACAACAGAAAATGTTAAGTTTGTGACCTTTGCTAGATTGCTCCGATCACTAGTGTGGATAAGTATGCAAATGGATAGAGACAAAGAAGCAAACACAAGATGTACGTGGTTCACCCAGATTGGCTACGTCTGTGGAATAGAAGAGTTCTCATTAATTATGAAGAGTTTACACAAGTACATAGGTTCAAACTCTTATTTAGTGAGTACTAGTGAAAAATTTAGTACAAATGACATTAGAAAATATTGTGGGAAAATGATCTCCTTTTATAGAAGAGTTCTAGCTTTGTTCTGACATTGACACGTGTCGTGTTGTGATTGGCTTATGATGTTGACACATGTCGCGATGTGATTGGCTTCTGATGTCGACACGTGTCACACTATGATTGGCCTCCTGGTTGGAGGGAAACTCTTCTGGGTCCTTGACGGTATCACATTGACCAGTGCTTAGTAGTTTCGGGATTTGTCAAGTATGGTACAAACATATTGGAATATTTTTCAAATCCAACGGTCCAGATTAATTAACAACATTAAAATTTATTTTAAAAATATAGAAAAAATTAAAAATTTTAATTTTTTTTCTATAAATACCTAACCCTTATCTTCCACTTTCGTACATCACATTTCAATATTTTATACACTTTCTACATTTCAATATTTTGTACACTTTGAGAGAAAAAAATGACTTCGTGGAAGCTCATTGAAAATGTTACGTTGTGTGAATGTTGGGTTCACATTACTCATAACCCGATTACGGGTAAGGGGATGGATAAGCGAGAAATGTGGAGTAAAATTACAAAAACGTTTTGCGATGTACATGGAAAAGACGTCACAACTAGTCAAGGTCTTCAAGGTCATTGGAAAAAACTCAACGCATCATTTACTTGTTAGAAAAACGTTATCTCTCATGCTTCTGGTAATCTGCGTAGTGGGACAAGTTTAGCGGATCAGGTGACAGTATTTTTATTTATTTATATGTGTTGATGCACAAAACCGAAGGGGTCTTGGAACAATGTAAATCCAACCGTGAATCTGTAAGAAAGTAAAGAACACAAGATGTATCGTGGTTCACCCAAATGTTTAGGCTACGTCCACACTGATATTGTTATTGTTTCACTCTGAATGGTGAATATACAAGAAGGCTAGAGGCAGTGTGCTCTCTAGCCTATTTTCTATGTGCTCTATTCCCATGGTCTGGATCTTGGCCTCCCCTAATGAGAAGAGTGAATAGTCATTTTATAGAATCAGGGATCCTCACTTATTACACATTTGCCCCTTTATTTATTACATAATTACATTTGAGTCCCCCGAGTATTTATACGAGGTCTAAATACGGAGACCCTAAGTATGGTACAAATAATATGCATTCCACCCGCATCAATATTTTAATTTATTTAATTTATTATGTAATTTATATGCATTCCACCTGCATTTTTTAATACTATCTCATTCCACATTTTTATAGACACTACAAGCAAAAGCATTCTACAATGCAAAGAACCAAAACAAATAATTCAACAAATGGGAATGTTGGAAAATTGTCAAAGATTGCCCTAGATACAAAATTATGGCAACCGGTCCAGAAGTTGTCATGCACGGCATGGTCTACACAGTTCTTTTTCAGTCTGAGGATGTGGCACTATTTGTTTTGGTGTTCCAGTGTTCGACATTTAGGTCATTCTGATCTCCTAGAACACCAAAAAAAAAAAATGCCAAATTCATGTATCAAATGAAGCCACCGCTTCCAAAATGATACTTTTGGCTCATTTTCTGTCCCCATAAGCTCCTTGCCACACATTTGGATAGTTTTTCCAAGTCCAGTGCATGCAGTCAATGCTTCCAATCATGCCAAGGAAGCCTCGCATCTCACCCTTCCTTAGAAGCCTTCGCATGTCCCTTGGCGTGGGTTTCCGGAGGTATTCATTGGTGTATAAGGCTTCAATTGCAGAGTAAAACCGCATCAGAGACTCCAGAACAGTTGTTTTTCCCATCCTCGTGATTTCATCCACTTGATCTGCAGATGCTCCATATGCAAACATTCGCAAGGCAGCCATAATTTTTTGCTCTGGAAGAAGACCTAGAACACGAAAAGCATCCTCTTTTTGCACAAAATATGGATCATGGTTGCAAATAGCACCCATGATTTTGTTGCACAAACTTTGTTGCATTCTAAAACGACGTCTAAAAACATGATCATGGAATACGCTATTGGGAATAAAATAATCTTCCAAGAGATCTTTTGTCATGCCCCGAGCCCGAAAATATATATTTTCGGAATTTAATTATGGTAGGCCCAACTTAAAGTCATAGTTAATTTATTTCAAATAATCACCATCCTTTAAATCACTAATTCAATTTCTAACAAGCTATCCATATTTTCTTATATGCCAAAACTAATCTTTAAATTAATAATTGAATTCATAATCATTAGTCATCAACCTCCAATTAATTTCCTTCATTCCACGCATAATCCATACCCATTATTCATTTACCAAAACATGCAATTTCACTTTCAAATTAGAACTATTTCCTCCTCTTAAATCAAAATTTATTCTAAATATTAATTCCCGACTATTTAAGGCTACATCTAACTCTGTTAGACTGCCTACATACCCTTGAAAGGGATCAAGCCTTTCGTAGTTTACAACCCATTTTCTAATTCATCAACTTCGACATTTTAGTGACT